CAGAGCCGTCGCGTGACTTTTGGAGGCCTCCCTACCACTTTTGCGGTTTTTGACGCCTCTTGCATTCTGAATGTTTAAAAAAAAAATAATAATTCCATATCAAACTTAAGACCCCCTTAAAAAATATTACTTATCCAAGCGGCAACCCCCCCCCCCAACCTTGCAACCGCAGGGGTTGCAGTGGCCAAGCGACGGCCCTGTTTGGAGTCACAAACCAACAATATTTTGGCTCATTTATTTCTCCATGTCCTACTCCATACAAACAAAAAGTGTGTTGCTGGGTACAAATAGGAGACTTAATCGCGTCATCCCGCGGGCAATTTTATACGCGATGCGGAATTCCAGCTCTAACAATGGTTCTGTGGGCCTGGAGCGACTGAGTGGTTCCACTTAAAAACTGGGGCGAATCTACAACGAAAAACTCAGTTATGATGTGACACCAACACGGGGCGGGGGAAAAAAACAACGTTGCAGGCATCAATCGAAAACAAAACAAAAAAACACGACTTTTTTTTTTCATTATATCTTTAAGGTTTCGCACAACGTTGTCGGCGGCGGTAAGTGTTCGCGCTCCTACTGTGTACCACCCGAGCCAGAGTCGGGAGTTGTACAAATAATATGCTGCAGGTCTGCTATGTATCAGGCGGGGTTACCGGACGTTTGATCGAAAGAAATTTCGTCGATGGTGAATTGATCGACGGAAATTTGATCGAACGGAAATTTAGTCGAATCGTTATTTTTTTTCCTTCAGTTCACGCGTTAAAATTTTCTTCAAATTTCTTTTTGAACGCACTCTACAAAAAATGCGTTCAAAATGAAATTTGAAGCAAAATTTTAACGTAAAAGCTGAAAAAAGATTCGACCAAATTTCCGTTCGATCAATTTACCGTCGACGAAATTTCTTTCGATCAAATTTCTGGATACGATCAGGCGTAGGGCGTAGGGGATGTTTTAACGCCCCTCTGCTGTAGTAAGCGATGTATATAAGCCCCACCCACCCCCCACCCCCACTCCTCTACACTTATAGAACATGAATTTAGACCACCCTCCTGTTCAGATATAAATAGCTTTAGTCCTCAGGCAATCTGCCAAGATATTTTAGACTCAGGGTACATTTTTTAGACTCCCACACCGAAACAGCTCACCATAACAAGCGGACATAAGAGGAAAAAAAATATAAAAAAATTTAAAAACATCCTCTCTTCGTACCGCACTGACTCTTTTTTTTTTTTCCTTTACAGCTAAAAAAAAAACGACCCAACACCTCATTTTCGTAACCTAGTTCCGCGATGAGTTGTTGCCCTTTCTCCGGTGTTTACAGGGCTCACCTTTAATTTTTACAAGCTTAATGACATAACATTCCAGTTGGGCGTGCTAGGTAATGAGTCAATTCTCTCTCTCTCTCTCTCGCTCTCTCTCTCTCTCTCTCGCTCCTTCTCTCTCGGTCTCTTTCACTGGTTTGGTCTCCCAGTCAAGTCCGCCACCCCCATCCACCTCAGTGCGATAAATATAGAAGCGGTATGAAATGTTTGTTGTTACAAGCAGGCATGGTGAACCATGAGTGGTCAAACTAATAGAATGTGATGCCTAGCGTTGACATCAGACAAGACGACAGCAACATTTGAAGAATTAGCGTAAAGGGCCAATCCATAAATGACGTCACGCTTTTTTTGGAAGGTGTTTATTTTTTTTCCGCGCCCCCCTTTTCCAATCATCAAAAAGTTATCAGTTTCCTCCCTTTTTTCCCTTACCTTAATGTGGGACGTCATTCATGGATTGCAAACCCCCCCCCCCCCCTTAACTATTCATTCATAGATAAATGTTAAAATGTTATTTGGCTAAGTAGCCTGATATTCTTATCAGAGTATCACAACAAGATGATATGCAAACATCAGGCAAGAAAGAAAAAGAAGACAATGTACAGTGTTACAGTTACAGTAAGTAAGCACTTCTGGTGTGAGGATGAGGTCATTTATCATTTGCCCAAGAACATATTACAATTAAACTTGGAAAAGTAAAATATTTGAATTAATGCTCACCGCTCCAGTCTTTAGTACATTAATAACATATCCAGAAAGATTCCCTTCAATTTTTAAACTGAACAGGTTGTGGCTACAATATAGCCCAGGGTAGTGTGCAAATAAAAATCTGACCAAGAAACTAACAAGATCAAAATCCTTTACTTTTAAAATTGTGTTTTAACATTTGTTAATTGAGGGCAACTTTGATATCTATTCACAACAAATAATAAAGAATATGTAAGGACTTAATTTAAAAGGTCACTGAGATGTGGTTTAAAACCCATTGTCTGGAAGAAATAAAAATGTGAAAGTAGACAACTAGGATAAGAGATAATAACTTATGAGTTATCATTTTGCCTCCAAATAAGAAAATAAATGTAAACGTATTGCATTTGTTTTCTTTTTAAACAGTTTGGATTTGAGACACAAAGACATACAGTAGTGGAATCAGTAGTAAGAAGTTGGTTGGATGATACTAAGATGACAATATAAAATGAAACATTTTATAAATATTTCAACTTTTCTAATGGTTATACTGCAATGGTTCCCAGCCTTTTTGACTTGCAAAGCCCCATTTTAGAATCCACTTCAATAGGGAAGCCTGTTAGGCCTAACTTATGTCTTCCAAGTTAATAGTGTTTAGGATCTTTCTAGGGAGTGAAACCCTTAGGGCTCCTCAGAGCATAGGTTGGTAACCACTGATGAAAATTCAAATAATTTCTCAAAATAGTTAAGAAAAAATTATATAATTTTTAATGTGTTAGTGCTCATTGTACATTTATTACTTATGTAAAGAGTATTTTTCGATCAATTTAAAATGACACATAGCCTAACTGTTTCATTCGTTCAGTTTAGTTAGTTTTTCCAAGCCATAGCCTTTTTTAGAAAAATGTTTTTTCAGAGATATTACTCATAACATCTGTGACAGATGTATTATTAATTTTTATTAAAACTGAGTTAAAAAGTTAAGGCAAATATCAAATCAGCCTTAAATAATGAACAAGTAATATGCCAAAAATATATATTTATTTTATATATAAGCACTAATATAATCTGCAGTAAGATAAAATAAAAGAGCACTTACCATATATTGTGATGTATCGAAGTACAATGTTGATTTCAGATCACCAGGCAAACTCTCAAGAATAGGAAATAAAAAGTTGTCCTTATTATCACTGCAGTTTTGGCACAAATACAAATAATTTAACACCTACACAAATGAGCCAAAAGTTATGAATTGTGTAAGAACTGTTTTAATCATAATAGTTAGTCTTAATGTTAGGCTACTAAAGCCTCCAAACTACAGATATTATAATCATGCAATGGAAATGTTAGATGCAAGCATTTAAATGACATATAAAATATAATATAACTCACAGATTATACATTAAAAATAGTTTCATATTAGGCCTAATATTTCATAGTAAGGCTATGCTTACACTCATTCATAATGAAAATATATACAGGTGAGGGAAAGGGCAAGCCAAAGGACAGTAATGTTGCAAGAAAAAATAATAAGTTTCACTACCAGTAACAGAGGCCAAAATTTTACTAAAGTGAGTAACTTAATATATAATAAACTAACAGAGTCAGTGTATTTAATATATATATATATATTTATATATATATGAATAATATATGTATATATATATACATATATATTTATATATATATATATATATATATATTAGTAGGCCTAGTGAATTAAATACACTCTGACTCATTCTGCCTCTACTGTTAGTTTGTAGCCTGCAGAGTTCAGTGTATTCTAGTTATAAATTAACATTAGTGTAGTTTATGATAAACTTTATACTTTATGTAGTGTGCAGCCATAGTGCCCATAGTCTGCCATACCATAGTCAAAAGTTAGAATAGTAGACATAGGAAAATGGTGTATGTACCTAGACTAAATTTACATTGTAAACCTATGCACACTAATTTGATTGTAAATAAATTATTAATATTTTTTTTTTACTAATTGGTAACAAATTTTTAAAAAGTAGGCCTAGAAAGTATAAAGTACTAGTACAGTCTCAGTATTGTATGGTATAGTCTATATTGTTTTCATTAGTTTAAGTTAAAATAATCGTAGGTTAACTAACTCAAATGGAAATTACCAAACTTCATCAATATCAACATAAACACATTTGATTTTCAATAAGCCTTAGTGAGTCATTATACATTTGGGCGAATTTAAAGTGTGTCCAACTAAAACAAACTTCATGAGAACTTTGGGAATTATCGAGTTTTCAAAGTTGTTTTATCGATTATATTTTTATTTTTTGCAGCAGACAATGCAGGGAGATTGCGTTAATTTTTATTAAATGCTTCAAGATATTTTTAAAGGACCCAATATTATGTTAAAATTACAGATTGTATAATGCATTTTTTTTTAATAAATAAATTAGTTTTATTTCAATATTAGAAACAATTCATTAAACAAGGATATTTTTAAAAAAAAAAAGCTTTTATATTTTTGTCTATACTATGACTATGACTATGAATGGCGCTGTGCACAATTAAATTATTATAAAACAAAATTTGACCCAAAACCATCTATAACATTTCTATTGACCACCCCCTAAAATTGTGTAACATTTCTAGCAAACGACCTCACACTCGATAAATCATTTTTACTACAAAATTTTGTATTTAACCATTTTGTATGTTGCGATTGTTTCTCTTCACCAGCCACCAGCCAAATGAATGTTTTCCAGATTTAAAATAAACTGAATGAAGTCCAAAAACAAGCAAATTTCAAGCAAAAACCCTGATTTTTTTAATTTCCATGTTTTATTTTTTACAAAAATGTGCTAATTAATTATCGTTAGCTCAAAATACGTTTTAGTTTAAATTATCTAGGCTAATTTAATAAATATTAAAATTAAAATGGGACATTTGGTTTGGTAAAAATGAGAAATAATAAAAATGGAAAGTAAAGAATTGTTGTATCACTATTATTACATTGATTTTGACCACCACCATATAACACAATATTGACAATATAATAAAATGATAAATCTCCCCCTTTGCGTTATTTAATATGTGAACGGTCCCTGCAACTATAAATATAGCATTGAGCATTCATATATAATATATTCGTGAAATTTTTTGTTTACGGTTCAAAGGTCATAGATAAAAAGCCAGTCTTGGACTTGAAACCCATCAGTATCAAAAGTGTCAGCACCATTAACCGGAGATTTTGAGTTCATTTTATTGCCTACATTTTATTCCGATATTTTCGGCGTATATATATATTTCATATATATATATATATATAATGTCTAAAAAGTCTGTTGATTTTTTTTATGACATTGTATCACCTTACTCATGGCTGGCGTTTGAGGTGAGTAGTCCGAACTTCCGAACTGTAAAAAAAATGATAAATGTAAAGTAAACTAAGTAAACTTAAACGAAGAATCAGTGTTAAAAATGTAAATGTGAATCAAGAATGAATATGAAATGAGTTTAAATTTAAAATCAATAAAGGACTAGTAGGACCCGCTGTAACTTTAATCCGGACTGCATATGAATCGGCTAAAACCGAGGACGACTGCCACGGGCCACGGCGTCTTTTGTGTCTTTATTATAGTTGCAGTGAATTAATTAGGGGTTAGGTTTAGGGATCGCTTTAGGGTTCAGGTTAGGCATAGGCATCGAGTTAGGGTTCAGGTTAGGCATAGGGATCGAGTTAGGGTTCAGGTTAGGCAATGGGATCGAGTTAGGGTTCAGGTTAGGCAATGGGATCGATTTAGGGTTCGGGTTAGGCATAGGAGGGATCAATTTAGGGATACATTCGTCACTTCGTGAAATTCCATAAAAAAAGTGGCAGGCTTCCCCATTTTTAACCGAGTATTCAAATTATGATTAATATTCTCGTCGTAGTCATAGTAAAAGTTGCACACACATTATTCACTTATTATTTAAATATTGTCATCGTGGTAGTGATGTCAAATAATCTTTTACCTTAAAAGTAAACTTAAAAGCCTACCAGTATTGAAAATTATTGATCACAGTCAGTGTCAGTAATTAGGCCATAATTATAATCACAGTAAATTTATAATAAACTATTTGACGTCTTTTGTTTCAATTCCAAGAATTACATTTCATTGTCTTTGTCTAGAACAGGCCTGAACAACATACGGCCCACCAGCACCCAATTTGCGGCCCGCGAAGTAACGACATATTCTTTATTATTATTTTCTTAATAATTATTAATTTAGCGTTCCCTCCTGTCCTAGCCTATACTATTATCTTTCGGCCAACACAAGCTTACATTTTGATCCGTGCAGGCCTGGCCTAGACCAGGCCTGCACTACTCAAAATGTAAGGCGGGCTAAATACTTTATGAAAAACTTGTGCTGGCCGTAATATGTTATGAAAAACTTGTGCAGGCCGAAAGATAATAGGACGGGGGGAAAGTTATTAAGAAAATAATATTAACGAATATTTCGTTATTTCGCGGGCTGCCAACTGGGTGCTGGCAGGCTGCATGCGGCCCACGGGCCATATGTTGTGCAGGTGTGGCCTAGACCATTAAATTCCTAGAGAAACTTATCATGCAGCCCACCCCAACAAAATTTAATTTATATGCGGCCCCCCGCACAAAATGTTTGCACACCCCTGGCCTAGCATACAGTATTAAAATAAAATACTATATAATTATAATATAATCCAAAAAAAGTGCCACCCCCTTCACACTCGAAAGGTTTGCCACTGCCTCCAACGATCATTAGAGGGGCCGGCAAAATACAATTTAGAAATTTTAACTGTAAGTTAAATAAATCAAGCTTATTTGGTGAAAAAAAAACACCATTTAATATTTGTTTCAAATTTAAAATTTAGATTTTGTAAAGTAACCCACTAAATTTTATAATTGGCCTTTAATTTTATTGAAACTTGAAACTGACTTAAGAACCTTGTAAAAAAGATAAAAATAATCCTATCCATCAAAATGTACTGCTTGTGAGGTGACACTAGCTCCACTGCATTTGGATGAATGGTAAAGATTTAGTGCCCCATGTGGAGTGGGATGGACATTTAAATCAGAAACATGGTTATTTTGCTTTGCAACTTAGATCTCAGTATGTATGCTGTATGCTAATTTATTAAATATTTTTTAAAATGTTATTTAAATTAGCAAGAAGCTACATAAGGCAGACTCTTTGACCTAAATTTTTTGTCATCATCCATCTTTTTTGAGAGACTTTTTCTGCTTGCAATCATCTGATCCTTGTGTCAACATCTAAAGTTGTTGTTCTTTATCTTGTCATTTGGTTCTTCTTTCAGCAATGTTTGCTTTTGACATCTCATGGACCATCACAGAATCATATGCAATAATTGCAGTACTTATATGCAGATGAGTTAAAACTATTTGTTGAAAAGCAGATTGTGTTGGGAACTATTAAAGAATGGATTAACCAATGAGTGAATGCCATATACTGCCACGAACCAATGGGCAGATAGCTCAGTTGCAGAGGAATGTAATAATCTGAAGTTTTTAAGGTAGCCTGGGGTCTGACAGCTGAGGACCTATGAAATGATATGGAAAGCCATTCATGGGATGTGGTGCCTGTTTGATAGTTGTAGATCCGCGGGCCTCATGTGGCCCAGGACTTTTATGAATGCATCCCAACAAAAGATCGTAAACTTAAAAACTTTATGAAATTGCCACTTAGACTTAGAGGTATTGATGGTGAATATAATTATCATATCACATAAGAAATTTGAAAAAACACAAATGAATAATGTGATTTATATGTACAAGTGAAACATATTTTAAAGCGAATTTCTTTGCCTATTGAGATCATATCTGGTATGGTTACTGATGGTGCCCCAGTGATGATATGGACTTGTAAAATTAATAGAAGTAGAAGACCATGCAATTACCTCCCAAAATTTAGCTATGATGAAGTAAACCAAGAAAATGTATGCACAAAAGATTTAAATATGGATAACGTCATGCAGAGTGTCATCAAGGTTGTAAATTTCAAAAGGGCCAAGGGGATTGACATTGCCAATTACAGGAATTTCGGATGCTAACTATGGGGACATAATTTTCTGCTCTGCATTAAAATCGTTAAGTTGAGGTAAAATGTTGAAAGTATTTAATGATTAGCGAAGTCATTTATCATTTATGGAATCAAGAGCAAAGTTTGTGCCAGAACTTGATAATGAAAACAGGCTTAGATATAACATTTTTAGTTGATTGATTGCTTTTTTAAATTAGTTAAACATGCGTCAAGGTGAAAACCAACTGATCATTACAATGTTTCAAAATTATAACAGCGTTCGAAATAAAACTAAAAATGTGGCAATGTCAAATTAAGGCAAACAATTTTATGCATTTTGGCACGTTGGCTAAACATGATAACATTTGATAACAACTTTCAAGATTTCCAGAAAAATCATCTATCTTTTGGAATATTTGCGACTCACGTTTTCAGTCAACATAAAAATATTACTTGCCAATTTTCAAATGGAATGCCAAGGAGTACATGTCATTCAACTTAAAGAAAAATTTCATCATGTCTCTTTACTGAAATTTTATAAGATATATCTTCCCACTTCCCAGAGAAAAATATCCCTTTCTTCAAAGTCATACTTTATTCATCATTCATGTCATCGTTATTTGGAAGCACCTACATTTGTGAGCAGTTATTTTCAAGGATGAAGCTCACAAAGAATAAATCTAGTACCAAAGTATCTGATGAGCACCTTGAGAACTTATTGAAAATTGCATCTTATTCCATCAAACTCAACCGAAAATTGTAGTTTTAGAGCAACTACTCAAAAGTAATATCAAACATCTCACTAATCGAACCTCATTTATGGATGGCTTGTCTTTTTTAAATTCATGAATTATTGAAGTTTAAATTACTTTAAAATTTGTTAATATATATTTTATTACCGGCACCATAATTTTTTTTTTTTTATTTTGCTCAGCCACTATTGTTAATGATAGTGTATTTTATGTATAGCCCAAAACAACTCATCTTCCTTGAATGTGGCCCAAGGAAGCTACATGGTTTGACCCAAAGATGAATTCACTAGAACAATGATGAAATCTAATTTCTTTTTTTATTTGAAATTTTGCATGCCCACTTTTCTTTTCTTTGATGTTATTCCACTATTACTTTGCTGAATGTAGTTAATTGGACTGCCATATTTTTACATAAAATAAATGAAAGTATTTGTTACAATCAATTGTTACATTCATCTTTGGTTACTAATAAATATCAATAATGTTTGACAAGGTTATTTTTAGGCAACCAGCAAAATGTAAGTTCAAGTTTTAAAAACTAGGCCTCCATCCTCTTAAAATTAAATGCTAAAATACAACATTATTTCTCAGGTTATTTGCAGGTATCAGCACAGATGGAACATTGCCTTGAAGTTGCGTCCCTTTTACCTAGGGGGCATCATGAATGAAGCTGGTAACAAAACCATATTACATAAACCATATTTTAAATTGTTTTGATCAGGCAGTATTTGGTGTATAAAATTCTAATAAAAACAAGCATAATACATAATACATACAAATTTTTAATTGGATTATAAAATATAATTTCAGAAACTTTCATTTAAAGAAAGAAAACTGCATTTTTATATACATGATAAATTTTAGTTATTTAGTTTTAATTTTCCGAATGATAACTTAGACTTACAGATGAACAAAAAAAAAAATGATACATTATTTTTTTACAACAATAATTTATAAATCAACTCTATCCATCCATGTAGGGGTTTGGCCTGTTTCACCACTTCTGTCCACTCAGAATTAATCAAGCTTTTCTTTTCCATGCTTGGATTCCTGGCTGCTGTAGATCATTTTCTACATCATCTAAGCATAGGTCTGCCTTTGAGCTGTTTTCCTCTTGTGTTTTGTTGGTGCACCTTCTTCATTCCATTTAGCATTCTTTCTAAGTGTCCCACCCAGCGAAGCCAGCCTTTTTTTATTTCAGTTACTAGCGTGAGATCCTGATATAGTTTATACATCAGCTAGCTATGCAAAATCTTGTCCAGTATGGCAGTTACCAAGACCATTATTTATTTGTTGTATTAAAAAAATATCCAACATGTTAATAATTTTTCAAAAAGGGAACAAATGAAGAATTATTAGTTAATCAGGGACAACACTTGAAAATTTTTGCTCTTCCTTTTTCATTTTATATAACATATTTTTATAACCAATTTTAGAATACGGTAAAATGTTATCTTTATGTATACAAATCTTTAAAACAATGCCATATTGTATTATAAATCTCTTTGTTGAACAGGAAATAAACCTCCAGCCCTGGTGCCAAATAAAGGCGCTTACATGATCAAAGATGTTGCGAGAATAGCAAAACATCATGATGTTCCACTCAAATTCCCAAAGGTTCCTACAAAATTCCTTTTCAAAAGTTAAAAACAAAGCTGAGGATATTGATAGATAAATCACATAAATGTAGTTCACATATTTCCCCTTAACATGTTAAGAAAAATTTTGTCGGTTGATATTTTTGTTTTAACTTATTATTTTTTTTTTATAATTATAAAAAAATAAACTAGTATGGTAAGTTATTTTAAAGTGAGTTACGTAAATAATATTATTCATTGAAAGAAAACTTTTTTTAAACATTTAAAATCTTTATAAGAAGAACTTAATAAACAATGTTTTTTATTCATTTATTCTAGAATACAATGGAAATGATGTTAGTCAAAGGCACCCTTTCAGCACAGAGGTTTCTGACAGCAGTAGATATTAGACAACCGGATTTACTTGAAAAGGTTTCTAGAGAGCTGTGGATGAGAAACTGGAATAGGGTAAATAAAAAATTAATTTTGTGAAATTTTAAAATTGGGCCTGTCTCGTAGTTCGCAACTAGTAACACAAATTTTGGAAATTTCTTGTTCTTAAATGATTATTTTACATTGAATGGTTCTTAGCTAAAAAAAAAAAAATGTTTATTTTTTTAAGGGTTGTCAACCTTTTTTCCCCGCTCAGTACACCGTATGCCTTTCCAAAATTCTGCTGCACACCACGAATAAAAACTTGCAAAATAATATTGGAGTGCATACATTAAATTAAAATGAGCTAGTAGAATTTTTAACCCAAATATAGTTATCATTTATAATGGTGTGAAGTAGTAAAAAAAAAAAAGATCAAATTACACTGTATTGCTCCATATTTAGTGTCCAAAATGAGAATGTTCTGTTGGCTAGCATTGTTATTAGACTAACTTATGCCCCTTTTGTAACAACTTGGTTTTATCACATGTATTTGCCTTTTAACACTCTTAGAGGCTTATTACTATCATTTTAAAGAGTCCATGTACAATTTGATAAGGAATAGAGTATTAAAAGTTCATTATTTCAACTTTAGCATTAAGAGGAAGTGATTAGCCATTTTTGTATGCAGTAATTTTATATTTCTTAAATTAAAAATAAAAAACAGGATGAAGATGTGACAGAACCAAAAAGTTTAGCTGAGGTATGTTACTAGGTTTCATGGACTTGAAAACATATATTTACACTAGCAAATAAAATAAATCATTTTTTTTTAAAAACTAATCAGATGTCACGCAAATAATACAACAAAATAATTGTTTCTTTATACTAATTATACTCACTCCACTGTTGCACAGACAAATCTTTGAACACCATCACTTAGCATACATAAAAACAGCTCTTTCCCAAAATTCTCTTCATTTTTTAGGCTATTTTTATGCAGTAGAAACTTGGACATTCAGACATAAGGCGATAAGGTATCCGAATATTGGTTACAACTGTCAAATTGTACTAATTCATTGATATTTAAAAATGTCTACCACATAGGCAGCCAAGAAGGCAGGAATGTCAGACCAAGACATTGTTGCCACATTAAGTTTAATTGGTGATGAGAAGGTCAAGGCCCAATTAAAAGCTGTAACAAAAGAAGCAATGGATCTCGGGGTAATGGTGCATTTGGCTTTTGATTGGACATTTATAGCCTTTTGCAGATTATATTTTTAAACTGCTTCCAACAGTAAAATATGCATTATCGATTTTAAAATTATTGACAGAATGCTCATTATTTATTGCTGTGTTTATTATTTACTGTTAGTACTTTTCATGTTTTGTGAAAGAAACAATGTTCTGCTATTTATTTTTTATCAAAGCATGGTGCTAAGCTACATTATGAGAAAGTTAGAGTGAACATTTCTAAGTTTATCATTTAACACCTGTAAAAGATGTTAGTATTGTTTCTTTATGATGAATAATGTTACCAAAATGATTCTACTTTAACTACTTTCTTTTGACACTCTATTGGCATCATCTTTAACTTTAAACATTTTTTGTTACCCTTTATTTAAGGCATTTGGAGCTCCTATGCTTGTTGCTGAGATAAATGGTAAAAAAGAATGGGTTTTTGGAAGTGACAGGTTCCCAATATTTGCTGAGATGATTAGTAAGAACTCTTGATATCAGAACACTCTTTTGTGTTTTGGCTTTGTCATTTAATGGCGGAAATCTATTAATAGAACTGATGTCATTATTACTCATCATCAGGGTACTCAGCGCGGACAAAATGTCAACACTGTTCAGTATTACTATGTTAGCGAAGTGTCTTTGAAATTTGTTTACAACTCTATTTTACGAAATATTTTACATATTTTTTTTTTTTTACTTCTATTTTCTGAAATGCGACTTCATTGCTTGAACGGCAAATGTAACAGTAACTCGAGATACAAGGATCGTCCGAACGAAATGCTGAAACACACTATAAGCTGCCATGTTTTAAGCAATATTTGTCCGCTGTCCTTCTAAAAATAGTACCCTATGACGTTTTCCGGTCTAAGAAATGACAAAGCCTATTGGTTTATGCTTTCATTATCTGTAAAAGTAACTTTAAAAAAAATTATCTGCTGTGATAGCAACTTTATATCCAAAATGTGTTAAGTGTTAACAGTGTCACTACGGACTTTAACTAGTTCGTTAAATGTGGATGCATAATAATAATACGGCTTCTCAATAAAAACTACTTAAGGGACCAACTCCTTTTGAAATCACATGACGCAATAAGTCTATAATTTTAAACAGTTCACTCAACATGTGGTACAACCTTTAATAAGGTAAACAGATGAAATGCTAAATTGTTTCTGTGTTTCACTTGTGAATTTTACTTATCTGGCCCATGAACTAGTCTGCAGTTACAATTGTGATTCTTTGTTCATCCCCACACAATTAAATTCAACCTGCTAGTATAGGAAATCTTTTTCAGAATTCATTTGACCTATTAATCATAAATTATTTTTCTCTTAGACAGCACAAATATTCCACCTAACGTGTTTTATACTACCTTTTTTTAAATCATTTTGACAGGTGAGAAATGGGAGGGCCCTGTGCCAGGTGTCTCTAGCAAACTTTGAGATATGACAGATTCCAACTTTATCAACTCATCCTGCTTCGACGAGAGCTACTTAACATGCCTGGAGTTTTGTAACAAATGGCATGCTTGTTTCCACTCTGCTATTACATTGTTAAATAAAACATCTATAAATACAACTATACAAATGTTGGGATTTTTTTTTTGTTGAAGTTATTTATTATATAAAAGTTATAAGAAATATAGATAGAGAGATTAAGAAATGTGTAAATAGATCTAAGGCACATTTTTAAAAAAGATAGTGTGGGACAAATGTTTTTTTAAAAGTCTATTTTAAACAATACATAACAACTGGCTAAGATTGTAACTAATTAAAAGTTTTTGTTTTAAAACTGTTCCTGGCAATATAACCATTAAGACATATTCATTTACATAATACAAGAGTTAAAACTCTAAGTCAAGTCAACATTTTACAAATACAACATAGTTTAAAAGTCATTGGCCTTTACGTAGCTGGTGAATATAATGGCGTCAGTGACACTTTGCCTTTCTTTGACCTCTTCTGTGAAGGCTTTGTTAAAAGACTGTCATCGTCATCAAGATCTCTCTCTAATTCCCCTATGAATTAAAAAAAATATATAGGAATTTAGGTTTGGGTCGCTATAAATATAACTGAATTTCTTTATCTGCTTTTCTTAAAGGAGAAGTTGTAAATTAAAAAATTTGGGCTGCTTTGTTTTTGTATTTTTTCCATATTCTCCGGAACTCCAGCTTGTCTTTTTTGCCCTAGCTGGGGTGTCAGCAGCAAAACTTGAAGAAAATATATCCAACTGGCCTTATCACTAGGTATATATTAAATAACCATACTCACCTTCTCGTCCTATATCAAACAGTGCTTCGTCATCCTCTTCATCAGAATCCAGGGTGTACCGAGGCTTTCTGACACTTTTATTGCCCCTTGTTGTTCTTTTTGGTTTCAATGGGCTGACTATGTCTGTTTCATCATCTTCATTCTCATTTATGTTCTCTTTATTAGATTTATTCTTCTGACGTGCTGTATAAAAAAATATACACATATTAACATGGAAGGTAAAATGCCTTGTGAAAACTTTGGAAAGAACTCAAAAAATATATTCCTCTCAAATAGATATTGATTTAAATAAAATAATCACGTAAGGGTCCAGCCATACAGTATGTATGCAAAACCTAAATTTGGCATGGGCACCAGGAATTGAAACATTTTAGGAATCACTGGTGTAGCCAAACAAAATATTTCAAAGGTGCACTAAATATTACTGTATACTACTATTACTATAGAGTACCTACTACTTGAGTGATATTTAGCAAATTCACTTGTGAAAACACAATGCAAAAATTTGGATAATTAAAAAATATTGCATATTTTACAGCATTAGAGATATAAATAGTTATTTATGGACTGTCAGAATTTCAAGAAAATCATCGTAGAATTTGTGAATAAATGTATGTATTTTCTTTTGAGACTCCCACTGGCCTTAGGATCACATAAAAAAATCTAAAAAATTGACACACACACCCCTGCATGCATACTTTATGGATGGCCCCTAAGATAAGAAATGAACCTTGATAACAAATGTTATTCTTGCCAAAGACAAAATTGACATTAACTTTAAAATACAGATTGCCTAATGTCAACATTTGAACGCATTATGCAACACAAGTTTTATTTTAAATAATCTAAGATCCTTTTTAAAAATTTTAATGAAACAATAATATTACACAATTAAAAGTAGAATATGTTGTATGCAAAAAATACTTTTTGGAGGTCTAAGACCCATTTATCTACAGAATATTTAAGATCAATATTTCATAAAATGTCTAGGCCCATTCATCTACAGAAAATTTATGATCAATGCTATTTCATAAAAAGTATAGGTCAACTCATCTACAGAATATTTAAAAGGATTCAATATTTTTTCATACAAAGTCTAACCCCATTCATCCACAGATTATTTAAGATCAATATGATTTCATAAAAAGCTTTAACAATTTTTAAAAATATAAAATTGTGCATGGCATGAAATCCAATCATAAGGAAAGATAAGGTCTAAAATTTCTCAATACTTACAATTGTTTCTTGGTTTTACAACCTTTGTTTTGCCTTTTACAACCACAGAACTCTTGCTGGCTTTGTTTTCAATTTCTCCTTCTTCTAAACCTTTAGTATGAGCTTGTTCTATCTTTTTCTCCAACTCTTCTAGTGCTGCCTGTCAATATGTAAACAAAAAAACCTGTATTCCTAATTTTCTTGTCTTTTCTACAACTCCATTTCATTAAACTGTCCGACCGTCATTTTGCTTTCTTTTTTAATAACAAGTACATTTTTATATATATAATTATTTTCTTAAGATGACCACGTACACCTAGACATGTTACATTTCTAGGGTTATGTCTGGTGCAAAAAATTGTTCAGTTAGTCAGTATTCAAACCACTGGCCTGAAGTATATTAGTGATCCTGCCATTAAAACTGCTCCCCAAATAATGCTTTAAAAAATCACTGCGGCAAACACCAAATTTAGTTGTCTCTAGTAAATTTAATTTACATCCCTAATGTATGTATGACTTTAATGAAAACATACCTTTGCCTCTGGGCGGATGAACTGTCTGGATTTACTAATGATCTGACAGAAATGTCCATATACATCATTGTCTACAAGCTTGTCTGCATAGCATTGGAAGTTTTCCAAAAGTTTACTGATGGCTTTTTCAGAGAATGTTAGCTGAGATAAACAGAAAGACAGATCTCGTACTTGACGATCAGTCCTGGAGGGTTAAAAAATTTATTATTATTGAATTTGATGATTTTTGTCAGTGTCCTAACAAGTTTCCCATTTTAATTTTTTTAAAGATTAAATTTCTAGGGGAGGAAGTCAATTTGTTTCCTAGAGTTATGTGAAAAAACTATTTTATATCTTTTGAAAAATGTTTTAAAAATACCAGATCTCCAATTTTTAGTGCTGATGAAATTATTTAATACCAAGGGCTCTCGCGCTGATTTGAACAGAAAATAGAAAAATACAAAATCATTGAGATTAACAGTAACCCATAAAAAGTTACATAGTTCTTGGTCCATAATTAGACCAGAATAAGAATTTTGAAACTTAATTGGAATTTTATGCAAACGTGTGTGCTCTTTGGACAACTTTTTCCAGAGGTCACTACATAATTAATATTATAGATAAACATCCATTCATAAAATATTTAAAAAATTACAATCATAATTTAAATTTATTTGTTTCCAACAAAAATACCTAGGTACTTAAAGAAAATTGATCCAAATAGGATTTGCTACTGCCATTTTTGCAAAAAAATTGAGAAAGTTATATTTTTTTAAAAACATTTAGTCAGTTTAGATACAAAATGTGCAACTTTGGGGCATCTGAAACAAACCTGGTGGCTCTGAATCTGTGGCAAAGTTTCTCTGTTAAACTCTCACAGTGTTTGCTCTTTTCAATGTGAGAGAAAATGTATCTGAAAAACCAAAGATTAGAAACCCATTAAAGACTATTTCTTTAGAGAGGTTCATCTGAATTTTCAGTGGTAAGTTGAAACTAGTAAATAATCTCCGACTTTAAAGTACAGGTTTGTCATTTTTGTGGTATAATCTTTTCCCCTTAAGTGAACTTATAATGTAAGATTAATCTTTATTCTGAAAAAGGCGAAATATTCTACAGTATAAGAATTGGATTTCACTTTAATCTTAGCTCAGTATAAAGATAGCATTGGAAAATATACTTTAAAATTGTCTTAGGTTAAAATTTAACTTAACACTTAATCTGACTCCATTTTTTATGCGTTGAAAATAAATCTTTACCGTAATTAGAATAAAAAATATGATGATGCATAATTACTTTATGATTATGTGGAAATTGTTTTCTTCCACGCCTATATCAGGGTCAGAGAGTCTGGAGATAATATCAGGCATGTTGTACATGGATGTGCCCTGTATTTTTTTTGATGAAATGATAAGTAGCAGATCACAATTAAAATAGAAATATATTTCCAATATAAAACATGAATATATAGCAGAATATGAATAATCCAAGAAAATTTGAAAACTTCATAGGAGTTATAACTGAGCCTTGGGATATTTCAAGAAAAAAATCAAAACTTTGACACTTTTATATGCATACAGCAACAAAGAAAAATAAATTAGTAAATATTAATTTTAAAAAAATAATTGCATCCTTTTATTTAAATAAAATAAATTACTTGAAGGGGAAAAAAAAGGTCAAAGCAAATAGAAATGACCAAACGTCTTGACCTGTTAATGGACATGTTAATAAAATAACTGTAGCATGAAGCTACCTTTTTAGCCAACTCGTGGAAAAACAGTTTTGCGAGTCCGGATATTCTGTCATCGGGGTCTACGATGCAGGTGGCAAGTTCACTGATCTGACCTTTGACTTTGACCATATCATTCAAGATGAGATGAGTCAGAACTTGCAGAGTTGTCTTTCTGACATGTGATGAATCATCTCTAAGCCTGCAACACAAGTCATACTATTTATTATTAAATAATAGGTTCAAGGAAATTGGAATCATAATTTTTTTATCAGAATTTTCAAAGTTGTTGTAGAACTTCGTACTTACAAAGTAGAGTGGAATTTTAAATAACCTGCTGGTAATTCCAAAACATTTCAAGATACCTAATAACACAGTTTAACCCAGCTTTTCCACACAATTTTCAGATAAATATAATTATAATTTCAAAATATTTTATAATTAGTTGTTGACACATCAGCTTTCAATGAAAATTTCATTTTTTAATTATTTTAATAATCAAATAAATCAAAATAATATTGCTAACGAATGCTTGTAAAAACAGAATTAAAAAAAAAATTGAATGTATAACTCTGGGGGAATAATTAAATCTATTCAAGCTATAGGAAGCTTAAATGCCTTTAATTATAAATACTTTAAGTTATACCTTGCATATAGATGTGAAGTCCATGGCTCTACCAGGTTGGGAAACCTGAATGTCAGGTCACCAAGAGCAATGATTAAATTTGATCGAATGACAGGGGATGGCGACTTCTCCAAAAGTGTAAACAAAAGTTGTAACTGAGACTCGCAGAACTGGGAGCTGTAGATCATAAAACACAATTAAAATTTTTTAATCAAACTCTTTTTTTAATGATAAAGATGATATTTAAAATATGCATATTCTACATTTATAATCTACTGAAGGAACAGCAAAGTCACCTGACAATCATGAATCTGGCCAGAGCAAGAGTGGCGGCTGTTTGCAGGTCCGGGTCAGAAAATTTGGCACTGTTGCTGCACACACCAATAATAAGTGGGTAGAGGCCACTAAGGAAATTGTCGGCTGAAACAGTAAAACTGGTCATTATTTTAGAGGGGGGGTGTAAATGAGAAATTGGTAATTGTTTAAAACTTCAATAAGTAGTCAATTTAAATAATTATTATTCCACTTTTAAGGCGAGAAATACAATTTTATTTCAATGCGAGTAAATGAGACCAAATTTAAAAAATATAAATTTTTTATTAAGAATCAGTTCATGGATTAGCAGGGAGGCCGAGTGACCCTGGTAGTCTGGTGTTAGAATTTCAGTAACACCTTATGTACACTATGGACACTAACATATGCTAAAATGAATGCTGAAGCCACATATGCTGGGCTATGAGGTACTAAAATAAAGCAAAGTAAAACCCAAAGTAATGTAATGACCAATACTAATGCACAAATAGAACACCTCAATAGGTTTGCAAAGTGTGCACCAAGGATAAGATGAGTGACTGAGTATCAGCAGTTGTAGAGACCATCATTTACCTCCTAATTCAGATAAAATCCAAATGACATGCATGCTTACGTTATGTTTAGTTTTCCCATCTTTCACACCGAGAGTCCTTAACAACATCAATAGCAGCAGTGTTTTAAAAAAAAAAAAAGGTTATTAAATAACAAATTGAAACTTACTGCTTAAAATTTCCATCTCACAGAGTTTTCTGATAAATTCTGCCTCAGTATCTTCAGCTGATGCTCCAGCTAAAGCCATGTCTTCTTCCATTTCAGCTGCCTGTAATTAAGAGCATGCTATTACAAAGTACATCAAATGACAAAACATTTGGAATCGTGAACAAAAATACTTTATCATGTAAATAAAAACTCATGCATTGCTGGAGATTTTCATATTTTAGAGCATTAGTTCTTGGTCGTTGACTCATCTTCATGTTAGATTTGAGCCATGCTACCTTAAACACCTCAAGTTCATCTCATGCAGTTACAATTCCATTTTTGCTTATGGCATATGATTGACCACTCATTGAATCCCACTGTGGTGCTTCATCCACCATTATTTTTTTGGTAAGATTATGTGTTCTTAACTACAGTGATTGATACTACTTATAAATTTAGTATGCAAAAGTAAGTCCTTTGTGAATGATACTGAAAATAGACCATCTTGATTAACTGGATGAATTAGGAATGTATCCTTTATTTATTCTCCTAAGTACCATAAATAATTTGCTTTTGCAAGAAACTTAGTTGTGACAATATTTTGATCTTACCTTTGAGCCATTTCCTGCTCCCACTCTGCTCTTCCTCCGCCCCTTTTTATTATCCTCCGTCAAGGTTAGCCTTCTTTTCATCTCAGTTAACACATCATCTTCCATATAAACAGTCTGTTTGAATGCCACCTGGCCAGCAACTGCCAACAGCCTTGTTAGCATACAAGTCACTAAGCTGGACTTTGCTGGTTCTTCAGGAACTTTTAAACAATGAAATAAACAGGTTGCAAGTTACTTGCAAGTTGCACAATTGTATAAATGCAAAATTGTTATGATTCATATATATAGGAATGGAGGTTACATAGACAATAAGATAAAAAAAGATTATTTAATTTTAAAATATCATTGACACAGAAAGGTTATATAGAAAGTTTCTTTAATGACTAAATTGCCACTAAAGATAGCTACTGATGTTGGTATCAAGAGAAAGAGTCTTTAACCCACAAACCATGAAACAACTAACAAGTAATTAACAGTGGTTCCAAACTTTTGTAGACTGCCCAAGATAGGTAATAAATAACTAAGATTAATAAGACGTAAACAATAGCCAATGGAAGATTTTAAAGTAAGTAATTGCACTAGATGACTTACCATCACCTCCCTCTCCTTGAGTTTGTGTTGCTTCTGAGCACACATCATTCAAAGCCTGTGTAAGTTCCCTCAACAGTTTAACACAAACCTCATCAGGTGTTTCTGAAAGCTCATAAATGACCCTTACGGCTTGATCAGCCAGTGGTATCCAGTAGCTGGTGTTTGCGTCTGTCATACCTAGAAATATATAATCATAATTACTTTGTTGCACACCATCTGATACATCAGTTAGTCAGTCAGAAATAGAGGTAGCGCGTCATTCTCCTAGTTAAGATGTGGCTGTGTCAACAGTCTATGGCAAACACCCAGCTGAAGCCAAATACAAAAGTGTGATGGATTAGTTAGCAACTATTCTTATGGAGGATGAAATCAGAGTGAGAAAAAAATCCCCAGCCACCAACCAATTGGGATGGGGAAAAAAATCCACCGTATTGTCTCATCTATATAGTGGGTAGAAAAATAACTGGCAGAAAAAAGTTCAAATCAACTTTTTTTTTGAATGCATAAATAATACTTTGACACATGTACATATTTATAAAAAAAAATCTAGAGGTAATTCCATTTCATGTTATGATTTCATTTATTACTTTAGACATCAGTATAAGTTCGTTGCTGGGTCATCTTACCACCTTTATATATCAGTACAATTAGCTCGGTCATCTTACCCCCTTTATATATCAGTACAATTTGCTGGGTCATCATACCCTTATTATATATCAGTACAATTAGCTGGGTCATCTTACCCACTTTATATAACAGTACAATTAGCTGGGTCATCTTACCCCCTTTATATATCAGTACAATTTTCTGGGTCATCTTACCCCCTTTATATGGGTTTGCGGCCAAATGTTATCCATTTGAATATAAAGTTGAGTTCAATTCTCTTTCTGACAAATAATAAAAGCACACAATGATACTTTATAAGGCTTCCAATAAGAAGTCATCGAACAAACCGCACCTTTGACGAGGATTACTTTCAATCTTTCAAAGAGACTGTTATCTGCCTCAAAGCGAAAAGGTTCAGAAGGTAGCTTCCCTTTCTCCTGCATACAAAATTTAACAAAGAATTATTACAGTTTACCAATTATATGTTTTCATAAAGCCTAAATTGAATCAATTTTTTTTATATATCCAAATCAAAGGCACGTTTTCTGTAGTTACCATCTACTTATAAGAATCCTAATTATTTCCCAATGTTTAAAAGAAAAATAGCCAGACCACCCCATAAGGCTGTGCAGATGCAGTTTTGAGCAGAGTTGTATATAAAAACGTTTCCATGAAAATTTAACTGAATTAAATTATTTGCAGTCTTTTAAGCAATAATAACACATTTAACAATGAGAACATGTATGAAGAAAATGTTTCCTTTAAGGTAACAAAGACTAAATTCTAGAGAATGAAAAACATCCAGGGGAAGATCAAAGAGGCTAGCAAAGTTTATAAAAAAAATTATACCAGCAGAGCAACCAAACTTAAGAGGTAATTTTGAGTACCAACCTTAGGAGAGGAATTTTGAATAACAACCTTAGGCGAGTTAATTTTGAGTACAAACCCGGGGGGGGGGGGGGGGGGTAATTTTGAGTACCAACCTTAGGAGAGGTAATTTTGAGCAAGGCTGTACAAGTACCAAGGGCTAAAAGGTAGTCATTTTCTGCTCTTGTGCCTAGACCCTCTTGTATCAAAACTTCAACATTACTTTTAACAATGTCAGGCTCAGCTCTAAGAGAGAAGTGCAAAAACAGGATTTATTTTTAGTGATTAAGTTACAGGATCAGAAATAAGATTTTAAAAATTGTCACAAACATAAAGTCTAATTTTGCAGGTAATGGGGGGAGGGGTGTGTGTGAGTGTGTGAAGGTTGGTGCTCAGGGGGGTGATGGGGAATGGATATGCGGGACAGCAAAGGGGAGGTTTCAGGAGGTATGTTGGAGAGGGTCAGGAGGAGTTATAAGGGGAAGATAAGAGGTTAGAGGACAAAGAAAGGAGAGAATGTAATAGAGTTTAATGGGGGGTGGGGGGATAGTATGAAACAAATCTAAAAGAGTAATTAAATTTATTAATTTGAGAATTAAGTACTATTTTTTTTATCCACTATACAATTCATTTCATATTTTAGTTATAATAATGCTACCAATTCAATTTATCTTACTACTGCTAGGGCAACATCTTTTGAAATTATCATTAACAAAAAAATCATAATTTAAAATCATTCAAACAGTATTATAGACAAAAACCACAAGACATGCACATGCGAAAATGTTTCAGAGACTTGAAAGAAATAAAAAAAGATTTTAAAAATAAGATAGTAAACAAAGTAATTTTTTTTTACTACTTACTGGGCACACATTGCGATCAGGTGAACTGCAGCTCTGGCGTCTTCTTCTGAAACAGCATTTGATTTGTCATTGAACCTTTCCCACAATGCTTTAATAACCTGAGGCCCAATATGACCACTTTTCACAAACTGTGTCACCTAGAAGTCCAAAAGCAATGATGACATTTTTAATAAACAATGATTTATTAATCATTCTTAAACAAGAGGTCACAGACCCCAAACCATTTTATCCATTAAAAAATCTCTTTATTATATATCAGTCTATCAAATACACAGAAGAAGCAAGAGTTCTCAAAATATTGAAGTTTCCTTTTTTCTTCTTAATGACCAAAGATTTGCAAATACCATAATTAATTGAAAAATATAATTATGCAGCTTTAGGTAAGTTAAAGAAAATTTAAATAAGTATATTTTGATTATTTTTTGCTAAAAATTCACTGACCAGAGCCTCAAGGGATGTCAAATCTCCACAAGTTGATCCAACAACTAGCCCTGATAGATTTTTCACTATGGATGATGCAATGAATCTGTACAAAAAAAAATATAAAAAAATATTAGGTTACCATTTGTAATTTGTTTAAGTCAACCTGAAAAGTATTTAAGAATATATTCACATTTTAATTTTTAATACTAAATCATGTTCTTTTAAAGACAAAAAAAAATTCAATGAAAGATCAAGAACAACTGACCTCTGGTTTTTATCTTTGGGCTCTAGATATAGAGTTCTATAAGCATCAACAACGGCATCTCGAACAGTCGCTTCTTGGGACCAGATTAGAACCATCATTCTCCGAACACCCACTACAGCAGCACTCACACCAAACTCCACAGCAGTGACAAAGAAATGGATGGCCTCTAAAACATCAGTGGTGTTTTTGGAGCCCAAGAGTTGGCAGACCACTGGAATACATTGTTGAACTTGGAGGGCAAAGGTGAGAGAATTCTGAAAAAGATTTTCTTTGTTTACCTTTAAAACTATTTATTCCTGAACATGCACAACAGTGATCAAGCTAAACATCTGCAGGCGCTGATTTTAAGCAAGAGATGATGAGTTAATATATATCTTAAAGGAACCTGATGCATGCAGCCATCACAGCTATTCAAAGGCAGTCATCATTACATTATTTCAGATTTGACAAAGTATCTAAGTCTAACTAGATACCACATTTTGATATACCAGATCTTTTATCACTCAAACTCTTAATATCATACAATATCATCACAAAATGGTTCAATGCATTATCTTAATAGTAAAAATAAAATAAACATAAATACCGTATATACTCGCATATAGCCTACATCGCATATAAGCCGACCCTCTAAAACTGCTTTAAAATGGCCAGTTTTTGCAAAAACCTGCATAAAAGCCACCCATACAATTGTCTAATTTTACTCCATATTTTTGGTTTCATAGCAGTTTGTTACTGTAAAGATGAATAAATGCTTACTTTTATGTTACATACCAGTTTGTTTACCTTTTGGAATGACACAAAAACGTGTTCTGCTCTTTCATACTCAGTATAATTATCAGCTACGCATACATTAAATTCTTTGAAGTGACACCTCTGTATATACATTAGTACTCTGTACACACAACCAAATAAAGAGTCAGATAGCGATGAAAATGTGTGGCTGGAAAATTGGCATTAGTGTCTGTCCTTGTGTCCATTTTGTTTTATGCGCATATAAGCTGACCCCCTGATTTCAGTATTGTATTTTATAGTTCTAAATTCGGCTTATATGCGAGTATATACGTTATGTATAATGTATACATCTCAAAATAGTAGATTGTATGCCAAAATCGTAACAGTAAACAGGTCTGATATACAGATAAGTAGCCATTTATTGACAACTGTTGAATATATTATGAACAATAATTAAAATGCCAAAGATGTAACGTTTAATGCTGTTTAGACCCACTTAAATAACATACATTTATTAAAATCACTTTTATTATGAGTGCAGAGGTATGTTAGAAGATATATTTTAATTTTGGGGGTCTTCAGAATTAATGATTCCACACCTCTATCATTATTTACTTTTTTTTGTACATTTACAAGTGTGTACCTAAGACTTAGTTGTTAAAAATCATTTTTTTAAAGATAAAAAAAATGCCTTTTTTTTAGTATTTATAGTTTAAAAATATCTTAAATTAACAAAATATGAGATTATTACATTGCATAGTTGAAAGCATTTATTTCTGTTTTAAAAGGCCCTGACATTTTTCCTTTATTAACAAAATATGACATATTACATTGGTATAATCGTAAGGCAGATAACACTTGGATTATGAATAAAGATAACATCAGCTAAAGTTGTCAGCTGAAGACACTTGAACCCACCTTAAGATAATTGACCAGTGTCTGCTGTTTGGCAAGTTCTGTTTTCGGCTCATCCAGTTCTGTGCTGTTGGCCATACTGCTGTCAGGAGTGTGAGGCGGGAGTGGGCTCTTAACCCCTGGAATGAGAACATGTGTCTTCTAATAAATAGTTTGGGAATGAATACAATTTATGTCACTGGGGAGAAGCTTAACATTTGCACTAGTAGGAATCTTTCAAATAATTTGTAGCTCATTTAAAAAAAAAGAAACTGATCATATTTCACAATATTTGATCAAAGTATGTGTGGCAGTATTTGATAGTGAGGGAAAAAATGATTTTTTAAAAAGATGAATGAACTGGAATGACGACTTTGTGAAGGTGAATTTTTATTGTAATAGAAATTTGTTTAATTAAGTTGGTCCATTGATCATGTGCTGTTCTGTCTAAAACAAACGGGAATAATCACGTTTCAATACAATATATTACTAGAAGCAGTTAACAACAGGTCAAGCCTAATGTCTACTTACAGAAAAATACTTCCTTGATAGCAGCTTCGAGCTTGGTTTCCACATCAGGCTCTTGATAGCTGTCTTCCTCATCATCTTCTGAATTCGACTTCCTAAAAATTGTTTTAATAATTTATTTTTTTAAATATTCCCATAGTCTTATTTTGTGGACATTTCATTTAAGCATGAGTTATTTTCTTATTGACTGTTTAGTTACAAGTTTGGACACCAGGATGTCGCCAGGTCTGCAAACTGTTGGAGCACATAATCGAAAGCACAGTCATGAAGCATCTTGAAATCAAAAATATACTCAATAACTGTCAAAATGGCTTCAGAGTCAATAGATCATGTGAGACCCAGATCCTTGATTTTGTAGAAGACTTGATGACCAATCTGGAGAACCACAAGCAAACTGACGTGCTGGTGATGGACTTCGCAAAGGCATTTGACCGTGTCAATCATAGTTTGCTTCTACACAAACTCCAGATGTATAGGATCCAAGGCACCACTAAAACAAGGATCTCTAGCTTCCTCAGCCACCAATGCCGAGCAGTAGTGGTGGACGGTACAAGCTCCTCCTTTATGAATGTAAAGTCAGGGGTCCCCCAGGGATCAGTGTTAGGCCCCTGTTTGTTCCTAGCATACATAAATGACCTACCCGAGAAACTGACATCCCAAGCAAGACTGTTCGCAGATGACACAGCGGTGTATAGGATGATCGCCAACAGATCTGACCAGGACCAGCTACAACAGGATCTCAATCGGTTAAATGAGTGGGAGAGGACCTGGGACATGGAATTTCACCATGCCAAGTGCCAGACACTATCAGTCTCTAAAAGTTGTACTCCTCTACACTACCCATACGAACTGAATGGCCATATACTTGAGACAGTTTCCTCAGTAAAGTACCTGGGTGTTACCATTCAAAGAGAGGTCCGCTGGGACGAGCATATTAACAATGTATGTAACCAAGCAAACAAGACCCTTGGGTTCTTAAAGCGTAACCTGAAGATTGGCAACTCCTATGTAAAAGAAAGAGCATATAAAGCCTTTGTCCGCCCGATTTTAGATTATGCATCTTCAGTCTGGGACCCATTTACCCAGAAGAGCATTGACAGGTTGGAGGCGGTCCAGCGACGGGCGGCTCGCTTTGTCCTGAACCGATACAGGAATACCTCTAGTGTTGGCAGTATGATGGAAAAACTAGGCTGGTCACCATTGGAGGAACGACGACGACAATCCAGGCTCTCCACGATGTACAAAATAAATAATGGGCTGGTCCACTGTCCCAGTATTTAACAGAAACTCGTCCCTCTCCCCCAGAGACAGCGACGAGGCCATGACAGGCAATTCCGGCTCATACCAGCAAGAAGCCAGTATAGAAATTGCTCATTCCTGCCCAACACAATCAGGGACTGGAACAAGCTTTCAAAAGAAACAGTTGAGGCGACAACACTAGACACATTTGCGTCTATTGCCTCAAGCCTTCCAACCCCCATTGCATGATTCCTTCACAAAGTAGCACTTGTAATCATTGAAATGTCCTCATCAGCACCAGGCACAGAAACATTGCAAATCCCCTCTACATGCATAGGAGCCAAAATGATCAATAAATTGATCGTGGGCCCTTAATATATAGAAGAAAAAGATGCTCGTGGGCAGGAGTTCAAACCATAGTGAACAAATTTCAACTCAAAACTTAGGCACTTTGGGAAGATAGAATTCATGAACCTCTGATGTTGGCTTATCCAAGAGAGGAATAGTCTTGGGTAAGAACGTCTGTTTTATTGGAATTACACCCTCTATGTCAGAAAGCTACTGGAGTAAACTCCTACAGAAATATGGACAGATATGAGTCCCAATGACAGCCTGAAATTTGAATCAATAAAATTACGGCAATGCTGCTACATAATTGGCAACAGCTTTTATTGAATTTCCCTTGAGTCCATCAACAGCTGTGAGATGGGGTTTTGTTGCAGGATTTGTAACTTCCACCACGATTACATCATTTTCTCTTGAAGATTGTAGGATGTCCAAAACTATTTCATTGTATGTAAATACAGTATCCTGACTTTGTAAACCACTGATTCAAACATAGTGTATTCTTCATAATTTGCTTTTTAACAATTTAAAAGGCACATTTTTATTAATTAAATTCACAAATGTGTTAATCATCGGACACACACCTCAATACAAGAATATGAACATAGGGACAAGTGTTCAGATAATCAAAGCCTGACAGGATGGGAATCGGGCAATTTCATTGGAGAAAAATTTTCAACACATGAACACTTTTTAAGAAGGTTAATGACTCACTTATTCAAATTGTTGAGGACAGCAAACACAGGGAGGTCAGGGAATGTTTCCATGGCGACATATGTCAGCATAATAGCTTCTGTGTATTCCTGGCCTTCCAAATACTTGACAATGTTTCCCAAAACTCTGAGAAAGACAGGAAACATATTTGTCAATAAAATGTGTTTCTATTGGCAAACAGATTTTTATTGGTTGCAGAAATTTTTTTTTCTATTGCTGCCCACAGATACTACTTACCAGCTAAGTGCTATTTCTTATTTTTATAACGTTTTTTCTGTTGTTTTGTTCGCTGACGAAGGCTTTCTGCCGACACGTTCGCTGTTTTGTTGCGTTTAATTTTTCAGGTTTAACCATACTCTATTTTTCTGGAATATGCCACCCCTGAAAAAAAGTGCCTGTTACGCACACTTGTCTGTAGGGAGAACTTAATCTCTTATTTTATTTAATGGCTCGTTCAAAGCAGTGCATAACAAAAGACGATACCATATGGGGAATAAAATAGCAAAGAATACAACTATAATTAATAAGCATTATTAAGTTACTAATATATTACAAAAATTAAAGAAATATTATTAAAATCATTAACTTACAGAGTATTGTGTTTCTTTTATCGGTACAAGAGTGGATGAAAATTAAAATGTGCCAAAATTAAGGTAAAACGATGAATAGGAATTCCCACATATACGTAAATACAGCTCTATCAATAATGATACACTCTAAAAATAACTCTAGCCTGTCGTCGCGTATAGTAAAAATAAATCTCATGTTAAATGCTCTGCCTCTCTGCCAAAAATATATCGTGTCCTCTTTTTAAAGTCTATTCTACTTATTCTACTGATGCATCTGGAACCGCCATACGCATTGTTTTCCTTTCCAGTTTACTCCAGATTTTTCCACAAAAAAATCTACAGCAATCTGGTAGAGACAGACTATTAATGTTATTTAGTTGGTAGTAGGCAAGGCCAAGAGACTATTTTTTAGCTAGTCACAGCTTCAATGCGTTTTTTAGCTTGTTTGTTGTTTGCTAGAGTTCACAGCACGGAGAAATAGGACATAAACATGTCGTCTACACAACAGTGCCCATACATAAAGCCAGCACTGGCTGCATCATGCACTTTGCATACACTAACTCTAAGGAAGCACTGGCTACAAACTACTGTAACACAATGCCGACACTGTCCCTAATATACTACAACACAATTCCGACACTGTCCCTAATATACTAGAACACAATGCTGACCCTGGCCTCAACATAATCTAACACAATGCCGACACTGTCCCTAATATACTAGAACACAATGCCGACACTGTCCTTAATATACTAGAACACAATGCCGACACTGTCCCTAATATACTACAACACAATGCCGACACTGTACCTTATATACTAGAACACAATGCCGACACTGGCCTCAACATAATCTAACACAATGCCGAGACACTATCCCTAATATACTACAACACAATGCCGACACTGTCTCTAATATACTACTACACAATGCCGACACTGTCCCTAATATACTACAACACAATGCCGACACTGTCCCTAATATACTACAACAAAATGCCTACACTGTCCCTAATATACTACAACGCAATGCCGACACTGTCCCTAATATACTACAACACAATGCCGACACTGTCCCTAATATACTACAACACAATGCCAACACTGTCCCTAATATACTACAACGCAATGCCGACACTGTACCTAATATACTACAACATATTTCCGACACTGTCCCTAATATACTACAACACAATGCCGACACTGTTCCTAATATACTGCAACAAAATGCCGACACTATCCCTAATATTCTACAACACAATGCAGACACTGTCCTTAATATACTACAACACAATGCCGACACTGTCCCTAATATACTACAACAAAATGCCGACACTGTCCCTAATATACTACAACGCAATGCCGACACTGTCCCTAATATACTACAACACAATGCCGACACTGTCCATAATATACTACAACGCAATGCCGACACTGTACCGAATATACTACAACACAATGCCGACACTGTCCCTAATATACTACAACGCAATGCCGACACTGTACCTAATATACTACAACACAATGCCGACACTGTCCTTAATATACTACAGCACAATGCCGACTCTGTCTCTAATGTACTACAACGCAATGCCGACACTGTTCCTAATATACTACAACACAATGCCGACACTGTCCCTAATATACTACAACACAATGCCGACACTGTTCCTAATATACTGCAACAAAATGCCGACACTGTCCCTAATATACTGCAACACAATGCCGACACTGTTCCTAATATACTGCAACACAATGCCGACACTGTCCCTAATATACTACAACACAATGCCGACACTGTCCCTAATATACTACAACACAATGCCGACACTGTCCATAATATACTACAACGCAATTCCGACACTGTCCCTAATATACTGCAACACAATGCCGACACTGTTCCTAATATACTGCAACACAATGCCGACACTGTCCCTAATATACTACAACACAATGCCGACACTGTCCATAATATACTACAACGCAATTCCGACACTGTCCCTAATATACTACAACACAATGCCGACACTGTTCCTAATATACTACAACACAATGCCGACACTGTCCCTAATATACTACAACACAATGCCGACACTGTCCCTAATATACTGCAACACAATGCCGACACTGGCCCTAATATACTACAACGCAATGCCGACACTGGCCCTAATATACTACAACACAATGCCGACACTGTCCCTAATATACTACAACACAATGCCGACACTGTCCCTAATATACTACAACACAATGCTGAGACACTGGCCCTAATATACTACAACGCAAGGCCGACACTGGCCCTAATATACTACAACGCAAGGCCGACACTGGCCTCAACATACTCTAACACGCTCACTGTGTATTTCCAACCATTTTTGTCGCCCGCCTTCACTCAGCACCACAAAAAGGTTTGATATCCCCTTCCTGTGGAAAAGATTTAATACAAATGGTATATATTCCGCCGAAGGCAAGATACAATTTAACATTTAAAGCCATGTTAAAAGCTAGAGATTCACTGTTTATTAAAAACAAAACAACACCACTTTCATCAATTAATATAAACTTGATATATCAATAAACACTAAATAATTTTTTTTTAAATAAATAAAAATTGTTTCACTGTTTTGGAACAGTAAATTCAGCTCAACGCTAAGAGACTAAATGTGCCGCATTTTCTACAAATGCCCTTATTTAAAAAAAAAAATCAATATATAGTTTTTATGACGTGGTACACCATCTCATTATGACGGTGTACACGATCTCATTAAGATCTCATTAAGATGGGACTCACCATCTCATTATGAAGTGGCACACCATTTCATTTTGACGGGGCACACCATCTCATTGTGACGGTACACACCATCTCGTTTCGACGTGGCACACCATCTCTTTATGACGTAGTACACCAATCTCATTATGACGTGGCATATCATATGTTGTTTGTCAGTAGGGAGTCGACCATGGCCACTTGTATCATCATAGTTTGTGCTGATTCTTTCTGTGGGTGCGCAGATGGCTAATGAGTTCGAATCTGGCATGCAATCTCTTGTGCAGTAGGTGCAAGGGAATGATGGCGCATCTCCGGGAACAGAGTTAGATCGGGCCTTCCTTGCATGTCTCTTGCACTCTGCAGCCGCTGTTCTACAACTTCATGTAACATGGAGCTCCCGTGCAAAGTGGAACGCCATGATGTTCGATCCTTTGCTTGTTCATCCCACGTGTCTGGGTTTATGTTGAACGCTTTCAGTGAGGCTTTTTATGTTGTCTTTAAAGCGTTTTCTGTCCGCCAGCAGACCGCTTTCCTTGTTCAAGCTCACCATAACACATTCTTTTTGGAAGACGGTCATCTGGCATTCTCACATGTTCCGCCCAGCGAAGCTGGGATTTCATCCAGATTGTAAAGATGCATGGGAGACCTGCCCGTGTGAGCACCTCAGAGTCTGGGACCCTGCCATTTAATGTTTAGGATTTTTCTGAGTCTTGTTGTATGAAAATGGTTCAGCAGTCTTGCATGGCGTTGGTAGACCATCCACGTTTCACAAGCATAGAGAATCGTAGGGAGAAAAGCCGGCTGATATACCTCAAGTTTAGTTTGAGTGTTAGTACCTCTCCTGGTCTATACGTTCTTAGTCAATCTTCCATTGGATTGCACTGGCTCTCGCAAAACGGAGGTTAACCTCGTCAAGATAGTTGTGATTTGAGACAATGTGCTGCCGACATTTCAACACCTTAAGTCTTTCACCATATATTTGGATTTTGGGCTTAACATAAGGGCGTCGAGTAGATAGTTGGTTTATGTTAATGGTGAGCCCAAAGTTTGTGCAGGCATTAGGAAGGCTTGTGACGCAGCGTTGCATATTCACTTCTGATACAGCGTTTAGGACATAGTCGTCTGCATACAGGAGGTCCCATATGGTGTCTGTCAGAACCTTTGTTTTGGCATGTAACCTCTTGGGGTTGAATAGATTACCGTCAGTTCAGTAGCTGAAGCCAATGCCAGCGTATCCCTCTCTTTTCAGCCTCATGTTTTCCGCAAGGCTGACCGATGCATTCAGAGAGGGAGACGCTGGAATTGGCACACCATATAATTATGACGGGGCACCATCTCATTATGACGTGGAACGCCATCTCATTCGGAAGGAGTACACCATCTCATTATGACGGTACACACCATCTCATTATGACCGAGTACAACATCGCATTATGACGGGACACATCATCTCATTATGACGGTACACACCATCTCGTTATGATGTGGCACACCATCTCATTATTGCATGGCACACCATCTCATTATGATGTGGTACACCATCTCATTATGACGTGGTACACGGTGTCCTTATGACACTGCACGCTATCTCAGTCATTGGTCTAGGTGAAAGCATGTATTTTCGTCATAGTTTACAATGCTTTTAACCTCATCTTAGAAACATTATGATTAAAAAATCCGCTAGTCTGTGCAATGCAATTTTGTTCATGGATCTA